GTCCCAGCTACTTGGGAGGCTGAGGCAAGAGACTCACTTGAGCCCAGGAGTTGGAGGTTGCTGTGAGCTTTGATGCCATGGCACTCTACCCATGGGGACAGCTTGAGGCTCTGTCTCTAAATAAATAAATAAATAAATAAATAAAATAAATATTAGCTTTGGCCTCTCCGGGCTCTTGGAATAAATTCTAAATTCTTCACCTAGGCCTATAAGACTCCACCCATGCACCTAATCATTTCTACTCTGTAGGCTATAGCTAGGTTTAAACATCTTACTGTTCCTTACCTCTAGGCCAGCAGTTCTCAACCTTCCTAAATCCGCAATGTATTTTCATTGTTAAAAAGGGGTCATGACCCACAAGTTGAGAATTGCGGCTCTGCTGCTCTAGGCCTTTGCATATGCTGTTGTCTCTGCCTGGAACAGAGTTCTCTTTTTTCCCCCTCCCCATTATTCTAATCCTTCAAGATTCCCCAGAAGTCACTCTTCTGAAGGCCTCCCCCAGACCAGGTTGGGTTCCATGACATCTCTCCCTTATACCTCTCCCTAGGTCCCACACAAATTCCCTCAGTTTAAAAAGAACAGCACCTATGACTATCAGATCACTGTGTCATGTAATGGCTCCAGGCATAGGGGACATCAATATGGGTTTCTTTTTTTTTCTTTTTTTTTTTTTGCAGTTTCTGGCCAGAGCTGTGTTTGAACCCGCCATCTCCAGCACTTGGGGCCAACACCCTGCCCCTTTGAGCCACAGGCACCGCCCCCAATATGGGTTTCTTTTTAAAATTTTTTTATGTAGGGTGGTGCCCATAGCTCAGTGAGTAGGGCACCGGCCACATACACCAAAGCTAATGGGTTGAAACCCGGCCCCGGCCAGGTAAAACCACAATGACAACTGCAACAAAAAATAGCTGGGCGTTGTGGGAGGCTGAAGCAAGAGAATCTCTTAAGCCCAAGGGTTTGAGGTTGCTGTGAGCTGTGAGCTACCACAGCCCGTGACTCTGTCTCAAAAAAAAAAAAAAAAAGTATGTGGAAACAGAGTCTGCCTATGTTACCCAGGCTTGTCTCAAACTTGGGCCCCCAAGTGATCCTCTCACCAGGACCTCCCAAAGTGCTGAGATTATAAGTGTGAACTACTTCTCCCCTGGCCCCCAGCATGCTGTTTAAACCCTGGCTCTTTCTCTTCTCTCACAGCTGAATGATCTGAGGTGTGGCTTCACCCCTCTGTGTCTTGGTTTCTTTAGCTGTAAAGTAGGTATAATCATTGCACCAAACCTTGTTAGGAAGACCCCATTTAACCAATGGAAAGTGCTCATAGCAGAGGATAGCACATTTACTCATTCATTTATTAAGACGAGACACTATCTTATCTTGATTGCATTAATGTACACTGTTATGCTATAAGAAATAAAAAAAATTAAAAAGACACTATCTTGAGGCCCAGGGACACACAGAACAAAAATCACTGCCCTTTTTGGGTGAGGGAGACAGATAAGTAAAGTATACAACTGTCAGCAGGTGTGTTAATACAGTTTATAGAACAAGAGAGAGAAACAGGAACACGAATATGTGGATTGCATTTCTTTTCTTTTTGGAAATTTGCACATAGAACCCCATAAATGTTGGCATGTTTATTGAGGGCATGCTTGGATTTATGCCCATCTCTGACCCTTAGGAGTGATTTGGGGTAAGTGAAGTCACTCTTC